TCAAGCTGCACAATCACTGGGAACCTTAGCATTATATGTCATTTCCTCTGTGTGCCTGTGTAGAAACAGCATTGTGTTGCTCTTGAAATGGTTGCCACGGGAACATCTCCACCTCCTCATTATCCACAGAGGTTACTGATTATATTAACCAGGAGACAGAGATATAGAAGGGACGAGGGAGCCACCTGCTCTACAGAAAATTGCAATTGTTTCTGTGATTTTCACCTCTGTGGCGACACATCTCTCTGAACACTTTTTTTTATATATTAATTTTTACGAATTTTTACCTCATTGTTCATTTTTAAATAATATTTGCTTCCCCCCACCCCCTCAGGTGTAGTCCCCATAGAGTTTCCCTCACCAGTGCACCCGTGACCATCACCTCAGTGCCCTGTGCTCCTCCCTCCCTCCCTCTGATCCCTCTTCCTCCTCCCCTGCAGGATGTCTCTGGTTTATAATCGTCCATTTTTGCTTTGTTGTGTTTTGTATTGTTAATATTTTTTCACACTGATGTCTTGTTTGGTTCCCCTATATTCCTGCTGTAAGTGAAACCATCTGATATTTTTCTTTTTCCTTCTGGCTTATTTCACTGAGCGTAATTCCTTCTAGTTCCATCCATGTTGCTGCGAATGGCATGAGGGTTTTTTTTTTTTTTTTGTGGGACCCTCGCCAGCGGCCGGGGATCGAACTGGTGCTGCAGAGGCTGCAGGCAGCCTCGCAGCCCAGCACTCAACCGCTGCACCACCAGGGGAGGCCCGAGTTTTTCTTTTTTGATTGCTGAATAATATTCCAAGATGTACCACATCTTCTTGATCCAGTCATCTGTTTTTGGGTATTTGGGTTGTTTCCAGGTTTTACCTATTGTAAATAATATAGGGGTACAGGTGTTCTTTTGAATCAATATTTTTGTGTCCTTTGGGTAGATTCCTGGGAGTGGAATTGACGGGTCATATGGTAGCTCCATGAACACTACTTTCTACCTTCTCTCTTCTGTCTCCATTCCCCCCCCAATAGCATTAATAAAAGAAAGAATTACAATTCCATTGTTCTTGCTCTCTTTCAGTTCTGTTGCAGACCTGATATAGAACAGTCATAACGGCCAGCCTTTTCCCTCACTCTGTTCTCTCTCTCCCATACTTAGGTGTAAAGATGACTTTCGTCCTTAAAGATCTGTGATCCCCTTCAACACACCGGCGCTGAAGCCATAGTTTCTTGTTACTTATCCAGACAAGCTTCTAGAAATTTATACAGATGCCTATTTTCTAAATTATATAAAACAAACAGAAAATGAAACTGGCTGTAATAAGTAACTTTATCTTATATAATTCTCAGTAGAGAGGATGGGAGGATCTCTTATGAGGACGGTTTTCTGATCTATTCCTGGAAATGCAGGTTACACCTGAGGGATATTATTTGAAGTACTTTTGTGATATAATTAGTTGACCTTGAAATTTATTGTCCAAATCAGAGAACTCTGGTAGTGAAAGATGGTATTTTAGATAAGTACGCTTGGTAACAGATACAAACTAGGACTATGCCAAGAAAACCAGGTATATATTATCACCTTGTATGTAAACATGGGCAGTACATGGACATGGTAGTACAGTACCCTCAAAAAATATGGCGAAAGGGACAACTATACTGGGAGCGCATCTGTGCAATTAAAATTAATATTGTGGATTTTAAAATCTGGATCAGCAAAAGAGGTTTCCTTTCTGTTTATACTTCTGTTTCATGTAAATTTAGTCAATGTGAGTCTATTCTTAAAAGTGCTGGCAGTGAGAATTGAAAACAAGCATATCACAAAGGAAAGCAAAAGAGACTGGACTGAAGATGCCAGGGAGATGTTATAAAGCCCTCTTCACTCTTAAAAAAAAAAAAAAACTAACTTAAGGGTTATTTCCTTTTCTTGGGAAAGGGCCATAGAGTAAGTATTTTTGACTTTGTGAGACATAGAGTCTCTGTGGCAAATACTCCACCATTGCAGTGAGAGGAGCACGCAGAGAAGATGTGTAAACGAATGGGCATGGTTGTGAGGTCAGGTTGGGGCACAGATTGGGTGTATTAGTGGTCTTCCTTCCCCCGTTCTAGTTACCTGTTTTAATATCTAGAAACTTTGGAAAGTTATCTTAGATACTGATTTTGATGTCTCCTGTCTTGCTGTGATTGGGCTGTGGCTGATGTGGCCCATGGAGAACAGTGGGTCTTACTTCTTCATGCATGATTTTGTTACATACATTCCACTCCTTGAAGGTCTATGGACAGGAGGGAGTTGGGGTAGACAACTGGGGACACCCTGGACAGGAGTGGCAGCTACACAGTTTCACTAAGCACTTTAGAAGGAGGGCTGCAGGGGTGTGGACGTAGGGAATGGAACTGTGGTGATTCAGTTTTTCCTATAATTTTTTTAAAAGTCATAGTTTAGATTCTAATTAGATTTGGGAGAGAGAGCAGAACTGCAAGCACCTGAGGGAAATGAAGTCTTGGGTCTGTGCCACCACTTGGAAAAATTTGACTCAAAAATAAGGTAAAAGATATAAAAATCACTTTAAACGAGTGTGGTGCTTATCATGGAGAATTGGAATCAGTTAGTAAAAATAAGAGTTGTAGGAGAAGGTTCCAAAATGTTCCTTAGGAGTTTATTTTTAAATTTTTATACAGTTATGTTTAAAATGTGTCTCTTTAGGCTGAAAGCACATACTAACAATGCAGGCAAATGACAGCAAGCATGTGAGTGAGATAAAAAGAATTTTAAAAAACTGTACACAAAGTAGTAGGAGGAACCATATCTGTTACAGCTCACGATGTGACTGGATATAATGTGGTGTCCACACAACTTTGTGCTGTCTGGTGACAAGCTGCCTTAACTGCAGACTAAGAAACCTGCAGAGTGAGGCCAGTAATGCTCTGGCATTTAGTTTCAATTCACTAACAAGGTACACGGAGGCAGTATACAGTAACACTGGCCAGTAATACCACAAACAGGTAAAAGGCTCAGAGGACAGCAGTCCTATCTGAGCTATTCAGCAAAACATAGGGGATGCTTGACATTTACAGTAATTTGATATAATTTTTAAAGCTAATTGGTAAGTGAACAATAGTTATTGGGACGTCAGTAGGTGAAAAGAGAATGTCCTTTATGATCGTCCAGTTTATTTAGGGAGGTATTTTATTTATCCAGAGGAAAAATTTGAGGCCACTATATGAAGCAAAACACAACACAAATTAATATTCCCTTGCAGGTGTGACTAATAAAGACATGAGAGAAAGTTATCCAGACTGGGATGCTGAGCAGAGAAGAGAGCACAGAGAAGAGAGCACAGAGAAGAGCACCAACACTGTCACTCAAGAGGTAGAGGGTCATGAGTGATGGGCAGGTGCAAAGGAGATGGAGGGGCAGAAAGTATCCCCAGCCAGGAAAAGGAGGCTGGGCTTGAACCCCAGAGCTAGAAAGCCCCTAGAGGTGCCAGAGTGACAAATGGCAACTGTTTGCAGATGATCTGTTAGGTAGTAAACAAAATATAGCAAAATATTATCTGCACGGAGTTTCTGTTTAATGTTTTATATATTTTTCCAGATTTTTTCTCTTACAAAATTAAAATAAACTAATCATAAAAAAATCCAAATATTCCAGAAACCTATGATGTGGATGGTTAAATATCCCATAATTTCTCCTGCAAAGATAATGTCCATTAGCAATTTCTGTTGCTTATTAACACTATGATAAATGAAAATAAAGTATCATTAGGGACCTTGGAATTATAAAGGGAATTATCTCCCATTTTCCTATTCATGCCTTGTATTAGAAATGATGATATACTACCTACTGTTGAAAAGAGGCTAAAGGAGACCCTGTCAGCGCTCCCTACAGGCTGTATCCAGCATTGCACTGGTCCGTGAGTGACTTAACTGTCGTCTAGAAGGCATTTTGGGTGATCAGAGTGGGGGAGGTATCTCTAGTATGGAAAGAGCTATTCCATGTCTTTTTGTCCCTGAAAAAGCTGAGAAAATAGATATTGCACATTGATATGGGAGGTTAACAAGCCAGGAGAAATACAAACATGTCCATCTCCTACTGGCCTTTTGAGGATCTAAGGATCAGAAATAGCAAGCTCTAATTTCTCCTTGTAATTTTCAGGGGTTGAGGTAAATTAAATTACCTCTTTAGCTGAAGTTGTTTATGCCAAAGGAAAGTAATACTCTGTGGGTGCAACCCAGCACTTTGAAATTTATAGATGGGGAGTGATAGGAGAACCAAACACTGAAAACCTTGGAGCAAATTGTGAAATTTATCCGCTTTCTCCCCCTTTCCTCCTAGTCCAAAGTGAAGGATGGTTTTGACAGTTAGAAGATAGTAAATGTGAAGGGTGCTGATCAGTGTTATGGATTTCCAAAGAAATTTGAGATGAAGAGAATTAGGCATCAGAGAATGAGCAAAGCTCTGAATAAGGAGCAGCACATGAAAGGGAAAAGTAGAAATAAATAAACTTCCTTGGTAGTTACAATGGGGAAGCGACTAGTGCAGACGGAAAGCCTTGGCTATGGTGAAGAGTTTTACCAGGACTGCAAGAAAGGACCTTAGGGATTTAAATTAGACAGAGGAGTGAGAACTAGATAGTGACCAGGTTACTAAGGGAAGCCATTGACTAGGTTTCCCTGTGGGATCTTCAAAAGAAAACAGAATCTCAGCTAGTCCAGTCCTTGGACCAAGAAAGGAATATCCTCTTTGTATAGGGTTTCGTGGTTTTTAAGATTTACATGTTTAAAGCTGACATCATCTCACTTACTCCTCACTAAAGCTCTGAGAGGTAGAGCAGAGCCAAGGTTACTTCACTAGGGAATGAAGAAACCTAAAGACAAAGGGTTAAGTGCCAGTGGGAGGGAAGAGCAGAAGGAAGTAAGGCAGACCTCTGAGGGTTTTGAAGTTCAGAGGGAAGTGAGAATTTTTTTCATTTTGAAAGAAAACGTTTGTTCCTTTCCAGGTACACTTGATTACTCACTGTTAAGTAGGCGGAAGTCAATGAATGGGTAGGAGCCGCGGCGTTCAGCAGGAACCCCCGTCTGACCCCTTAGTCGTACATCTCCTAGAAAACAGAAAATCCAAACAAGTGTTTGAAAACATTGCCAAGTGTATTCGCTTTTCCTCTGTAAATCTTCGTAACCACTTATGTCACTGGAACCAACACCAAATGTCAGGAGAAAAAGGTTTCCATTCACTTAGCTCAAGAGAGCACTAAGTGAGAAGGGATATTTAATGAATGTGAGGTGTATGAACTTGGCACTCCTCAAACAAATGAAATGGTCCCTTCATATTTGTCTGCAAGATGAGTCCATGAAAATTTTAGTAATTTGAAAGTTTCCATAGTCTTTTTATACTTTCCAGGGCTAACTTAGAAGCAACTTGCTCCAGGGCCTCCCCTGGTGGCGCAGGCGGTTGAGCGCAGCTCTGTGAAGCTGTCCTTAGCCTCCGCAGTGCAGGCTCAATCCCCGCCGGCCACAGAGATACCCACATGGTGCAGCAGACCTCTCCGGGCTCCCCTTAGCAGTGTGCTTCAGGCAGTCTGCCTGTTCTGTTCCCTGCTCTGTCTCTGGTGAATCCTCTTACCCTCCCGCACATCTGACCTGTACCCTGGTTCTTGTGTGCATGAATAAATAAATCTTTTTTTTTTTTAAAAAAAAGAAGCAACTTGCTCCAAATGAATCAACTTAATCTGGAAGGACAAATGGTGTGCTAAGATGATCACTTTCATTCTTAAAGGAAGTTTTAATCAACCACAGTGTTATTTCTCTTGGTTGCCGTACAACCAATACTTGATCGGTTTCCATCATCCTTGTGGTCAGGATATAACATTGATCTGCTCTCATATCTGCTCAGATGAATGTGAGCTTCATCTTAGGTACTGGACACTCAGCCACCCTTGTGCCATGACTTTCTAAGGCTTATTTGTAGGCTTCATTTAACATCTGTGTTTACTCTCCTTTTTGGCATATATCCTGGCTTCCCAATCAAAAGAGGTAATAAAATAGAATGGAAAGAGCATGGACTTTAGCATAAGGTAGACCTTGGATAAACCTGCCTCACTTCAAATCTAAAATAACATTCTTGCTGTCTGGCAGTAAGTGCTGGTTTGACATCCTTCTACACTTCTGCAAACTGGGGTCATGCATATTAAGTGTTTTCCATTTCTCCATCCTGCTCTATGTGTTGTCTGGTACTTAGCCAACTCTAAGTGAATATCCTCTGTGGACAAGAACTGACATAAAGATCAAATTTGCCAATTGTAGGTATAACGTGGATTCAGAGGAGAGGTAACAATTCATGACATCCAATATATTTCTGGAAGGATTGAATCAGGGAAGGTTTCAATTCTAGGAATAATGTATCTGCTCTCATAAACCATGCTTTCCCAGAAATAAGGTGGCACTGGGACAGCAGCCTATGAGCAGAGAGGAGGAAGAGTTTCTCTTCTCCCTTCCTACCTGCTGGAGTTCTCCAGGGTGTGGGTGAGATCCTCCCCAGCTGTAACAGTGTTGACAGTGTTTAAAACATCCCTCACAAATGGGCCTTGAGTGTATTTGGGATTATAATCAGCCAGCGGGAGCCCTTAGTCTAGTCTGGCTTTGATTTTTACATTGTTGCCTTTTAAATACTTTGTGTAACTTGATATAGTAGTGCCATACTGATATGAAAGGACTTTATAATTCATGGAATATAATGAAGTGGGAGGAGGAGAAAAGGAGAAGTACATTTAAAAATGTGAATATAACCAGACATCAAAGAAGGGAATGCTGTTAGCATTTGATAAACTCATGGGGATGGAGGTTGAATAGTTGAAAGATTCTGGGAAGAATCAAAGGGTTTTCCTCTCCTCCCCTGTTTGTGTTTAACACCCTATGCTTATAATGTTTAAAGAGTTCACAAAACACTTCTGCAAACATCTCTGTTCTGTTAATCTCATTAGTTCCTTACAATTTTATTTTATTTTTCTAAAACATCCTTTTTATTTTTTCACAGTATAGGATATCTCCCCTTAAGTGTGGTCACCAGAGTTTTTCCACCACCAAAATGCCCACAGTCCTCCACCATACTCCATTCCTTCCTTGTTCTCTACTATCCTCTACTCCTTCCCTTCTTGTGAGTGTCTAGATCTATGGTCTGCTTTCAAGAGTCAGTCTTATAGTTTGTCTAGTTTGATCCTTTCTTTGGTTCCTCTAGATTCCACATATAAGTGAAACCATCTGATATTTATCTTTCTCCTTCTGGCTCACTTTGCTTAGAATAACCCCTTCCAGTTCCACTCAAGTTGCTGCAAATGGCATGAATTTATCTTTTTGATTGCTGAGTAGTATTCCTTTGGACATATGTACTAAATCTTCTTGTTTCATTCCTCTGTTCTGGAGCATTTAGGTTGTTTCCATATCTTGGCTATTGTAAATAGTGCTGTTATAAACAGGAGTTCAGGTTTCCTTCTCACAATGTTCTTGTTAGGAGAGTCACTATTCTTCTTGCTTTTCAGGGGAGAAAGCAAAGTTTAAGAGAAGGAAGGACTACTATTCACCTTCTTAGGCACCAGTTTAGGGCTCAGGTCTCTTTAAGACACTCTTTTAGATAACTTATTGACACTAATTAACTGCCTGATTCTATGGTGTTTAAACTTATAATTATTAGCAGGGCTAGTCCTTAAATCTAGCTTGTTAAATTCATGGACAGAGCTCTTTCCTCATTTGGTTTTTAGCCTATGGAGTATGCACATCTTTCTTTCTAAATGAAAAAAAAATCACAAACCCCACATGACATAAATTGTACTTTTAGAAGCCATTGAGAAAATACAGCATGCTAAAATAGTGAAACAAATCCAGCACTCCTGTAAATGAATTTATATTTTTATACTTGGCAGTAAGACAGATATATTCTTGAAAACTATGATAGTTAAAACTATTCATTTGGTCTACAAAACCTGTAGATTTGTGGATTTGTTGACCTGTTGTCTCATCCCTTTGGGCTTCTTCTGGGGTCTTAAGCTCATCAAATGAAAATCGCTTCTCCCCAGGTATTTTCTCTCAGTATTACCAAAGAATCCCTTCTGACTTTGTAGTTCTAAGGCCACCCTTTTCCCATAAAACTTCTGTATAATATCAGTATAGGTATTAAAGCTGGAATTTGTTCCATTTGTCCACCTGAGAGTCTAAGGCAGAAGAGGCCCATCATTATGTGAGTCTACAGGTTTAGAGAAAATATGAGGTGACTGGACATACTGGCAGGATGAGTTGAGGTGTGGCGACGCCGACTGAGGGGACTCCTGTTTCCGAGAGCATCTGCATTTCTCCCCCTGGCGTTGTAGCCAAATCAGTAACTATTCTGAGTTCCAGTTTTCTAATATTTAAGTTAATTAGCATAATTATAATAATTTTGCTTACCTCACAGTTTGTTGTGAGGAAATGATAAAAATATCAGATGATACATGATGATTTTATTTATTGAATACTTAGACTATGCTGAGCATTTTACATGCATTATCTGATATCATCTACCTAACTATCCAATTATTATTATTATCATTATTAGACTGTTTTACAGATGAAGGAATCTGAAGCCAATGGATGTTTGATGATTTGTATAAGTTCCTGGTTCTGGTAAGTGTAGTGCTTGTGCTTAAGCTCAGAACTGGCTCCAGAGATCTCATTCTTAACCACTCTCCTACATTGCTAGGATAAAACAATTGTATAAACAGTTAAATATTAACTTTATATTACCCAGCGAATGCTCTGATTACTACAAATAAACCAAATTCATCATGATTTCCAGAAATTGAATACTAGGAGAATTTGCCCCCTTGATGAATTTGAGATTCAGTCAGATAGACGTTGTTTATCCCAGTAGCAGTCCAGGAGAACTGGACTGTGCCAGTGGGAAATTCAGATCCCATTCCTGATCAACAAGGTATCTATTATTTTTAAGTTAGAAATGAGAAGCAACTATTAAAAATATTATTGGGCAGAACTAAAATTACCAGGCAACTAGTTTACTCAACCTCTTAATTAAGTAGAATTTTTATGATGCAATCCCACTTTTGGGGAAAAAAAGACAAATACCAACAAAGCAAGTTGATAGCAAAGATACCCAAACAAACAAATACGACAAACCAGTAGCAATGACAACAAATTACAAAACCCAAATCTGAAAGTTTCTGTTTTAATGCTTATTCTGTCTATCCTTAACAAAAAGTCTTGGTCATGGATTACTTATAAAGCTAATGGTGACCTTTAAATATAGTGAAAAATTATTTTAAAAAAGGATCCAGAATCCAGTCACCTTAAAAGACACTAGTAGGGCAGGAGGCAGGACAACTGTAAGTGGGCTAACAATGCAGGTAGAAATCTTTCAGTGTGTAAAGTTAAATACAAACAAACCAAACAAATAAAAGCAAGCCAAACATTTTGTATCTTGAGTCTTCTGTTTATTTGAAATGCTAATGTGGTTAAAATCAGTATTTTAAATATATACTTCTAACAGAGAAAATTGTCACCACTTCTTTCTTTCACCCCTTCTTAGAGTAATAAGCTCCTGGAAGAGAGAAATAATTCAGCAACAACGGTCCCCCAAGGAGCCACGGCCATTGGGCTGATGTCCGCAGAACAGAACGAGTGGCATTCTGCTGAACTGCTTTTACTGGCCCGTGGCCTTGGGCAATCATTTATTTACCTAAGGCCTTATATCCAAGCTAAACAATTATTTTGACTATTCATTAGACCCTTGTTTAACTTAAGCAACTATTTTTCTGGCAGAAGAAAGGTGCTGTGGAAGCAGGGTAGGAAGCGTTGACAGCTCTGAGTCGTGTCCTCAGTCTGTTCTTATTGTGTTCCAAAATGAAACAAACAGCAGGGGAATTCATATTTTGAAAGGACTGTTTCTCTTTTGCCCCTTCAAGCTGAAAACAAGATGTCAACCTTGTGTATTGAAGACTCCAAACGCAGGCAGAGAGCTGAGCTGAGCAGTTTTAAGACAGTCACTCTCTCTCCCAGGGGACGTGGCTCTGGGATGGACCTTTTGCCCACTTGGCCTCTCGGGCCGTCTCTGTTTAAT